CTGCTTTTCTTGCAGCGAGAAACTTTCTTTTGATAATGCTGCTTTCCCTTTCCTTGCATATTCTGGAATCCCAGCAGTCTCTTTCTGTTTTTGTGAGGTAAGTCTGAAGAACGCTACGGCATTATATCTTAGATCTTCTTTTGTCAGTTTTGAGGCCAAGTTTCCTAGAGTGCTTAGTATGTTATGAGAAGTTAGATATGTGCAGGTATTGTAATGTCCCTTATTATCAGTCTTAAGACAGAATTTTAATCTCAGCTTAGTTAGCATTTGAATTTATTTGCTAAACTTCTTCAGTTATACATGATGAGTTTTTTTTGTTTTGTTTTGTTTTTGTTTTTTTTTCTGGTACGCGGGCCTCTCACTGTTGTGGCCTCTCCCGTTGCGGAGCACAGGCTCCGGACGCGCAGGCTCAGGGGCCATGGCTCACGGGCCCAGCCACTCTGCGGCATGTGGGATCTTCCCGGACCGGAGCACGAACCCGTGTCCCCCTGCATCGGCAGGCGGACTCTCAACCACTGCGCCACCAGGGATGCCCCATGATGAGTTTTAATAACAAGGCCGTCTATTGAACAGTGCAGTATAGAATATTTCCTTCAAACAGAGTTCTCTAGGATAATACTATTCTTGATGCCTGTTGAAATATGGTTGTAGATGTTCATCCTGAAATGTTAGTCTCTTAAATTAAGCAGGGATTATAGATAAAAGCAGAAAAACCAAACAGAGGTAAGATTTTTAAGAGACAGAACTTTGAACTGACCAAGTTGGAAAACAAGATTGACTTGGTACAAGAGCCAGTTAGAAGGCACTGAAAACCAGGCAGAGTAAAAAGCATGATGAAGGCTTCTGTGCTGAAGGCTAGAGTTGGAAAACCAGCTCCACAGCAGGTTCTTCGGAGGTGTGAAGAGATCCCAGAGTTAGTCTAGGGGGTCAGGGTGGAAGCTGTTGACTTCGGCATCAAATTGATGATCCAGTAGAGGCCAGGTCCTTAATAGACTTCTTATCACTGGGTGTTTTAGCCTGGAACTAGGATGGAAAGGTGTGAAGTGAGGGAGTGATGAAAGATCTGGATTTGGAGATTAACATAGCTGGAATTCCCCTGACTTTCTGCTAGAGCAACAGTATGAATGGTATTGAAATATCTGGTCATTATGTCTATTTAGTACTTTAGGAAGAACTGAGTGTCAGGTCCTAGGGTTGAGGAAACTTATGGATGATTTCTGTTGACCTTCAGAAGTCATGTGTGTTTTGTTTTGTTTTTTTTTTTTTTGCTGTATGCGGGCCTCTCACTGCCGTGGCCTCTCCCGTCGCAGAGCACAGGCTCCGGACGCGCAGGCCCAGCGGCCACGGCTCACGGGCCCAGCCGCTCCGCGGCATGTGGGATCTTCCCGGACCGGGGCACGAACCCGTGTCCCCTGCATCGGCAGGCGGACTCTCAACCACTGAGCCACCAGGGAAGCCCCGTCATGTGTTTTTTAAAAACTTCTTAATGATTCCTAGCAGTGCTGGTTCAGAGGTATAGGTAATACAGATATATACAGTCTGAAAGTAAAGAATTGAGGTCAAACCAAAGGACTGGCAATGAGATTGTCACCGGGGACAGTGGTAGGGAATAGAGTTGAAGAAATACCTACTAGGGGCTTCCCTGGTGGCGCAGTGGTTGAGAGTCCGCCTGCCGATGCAGGGGACACGGGTTCGTGCCCCGGTCTGGGAAGATCCCACATGCCGCGGAGCCGCTGGGCCCGTGAGCCATGGCCGCTGAGCCTGCGTGTCCGGAGCCTGTGCTCCGCAACGGGAGAGGCCACAACAGTGAGAGGCCCACGTACCGCAAAAAAAAAAAAAAAAAGAGCTACTAAACTTGTCCAGTGAAAGTGGAGAGAAGTTCTTGTGAGCATCAGATGGTCTTGTTAGAAAGGTAACATGTATGAATGGAATGCTACATGAGGAAGAAGGTAAATTTTTGTCTAAAAGTAACACTTTATATTGAAAGTACATTTCACGTGTGCTCTCTTCTTTCCTCATTAACATGGGCCAAACTTCCCAGAGAGAAGTGAATAAGGATATAACCTCAAGGAATTTGGCTAGAAATCTGTTTAGGGTCTGTGATGTGATAGAACAGGAATTCTATGGAACCTAGAAGAAACTCATCATTCCAGGAGTAGGCTAGGTTCAGAGGAACTAGCAAAAGCTGTATCTTCTTAAAGTAGTGGATATGAGATAAAGTTGGAGTAGGAATATATTAGAAGCAAAGGAAGAATTACAGTTACTATTTCTTTGATGGGGAAACTAGAACGTGAGGTTCCTAGTCATACAACCCACCTGAGTACATTAACCTACCTTTGTTTTCCAGGACACAGATTACCCTTATTTGGGTACTCCCATGGATACCTATGAGGTACTGAATCAGAATGTTCCTCAGTTGAACAAAATGGCACGTGCAGCAGCAGAAGTAGCCGGTCTGCTTGTGATTAAACTTAGCCATGATGTTGAATTGAACCTGAACTATGAGATGTATAATGACAAAATACTTTGGTTTGTGAGAGAAATGAACCAGTACAGAGCAGACATAAAGGTGAGCACTAACTAAAATCAGGCTCTTACTGCTGAAGTGTCAAGCAGTTTGAAGAATAATGTTTAGCTGTTCCTGGGAAGCATGACTGGTAGCCAAAGTATGTTTTAAAGTGAACTGAAGTATAATTTTGCTTAGAATCCATAACTCATTTGAAAGGGAAGTTGGGAGGATGAAGGTTATAGATATAGGATAGACCACAGCAAGTCTTTGAGAATCTAAAATGGTGTGAAGCTTTCTCTCATTCATGTATTCCAAGCAACCCATCAAGAAGTTGGGCCTAGAGAATATAAAGATCTCAACCGTGACTCTGAACCTATGAGTTTGGGCCACATGTGCCTTGCAGAGATGACATGGGTGGAAAGAGAACATAGCCAGTGGTTAAAGTGTTATTTAGTGTTGATCCTTTGTGTCTAATATTCAAACATTTGATAAAACCAAATTAATTAATAAGTGGCTTTTATGGTACTAGAAGTCAATTTAACAGATCCCTTAAATGAAGTAAATCATTGATAACCGAATCTTAACTGTTAGGATTGGCTTACTTGAAACTAATTGTAACTGATCAGAAACTGGGACTTACCAGATGGAAATAACTAGATTTTGAAGTTCACTGAACCAAAATGTTTGAAGTTTGCCACCAAAGGGAAATTGAGCTGGAAAGAATATACTACACAGGATTATATACTTTTACTAACTACATTATGTTACATTTCTTGATGAGGATGGTTTTCTTATGAGACTAAGAATGGATAATTGTACTATCTGCTGAGCTTAAATATGAGTGTGTTATGAGTTTATAGAGCTTGGAACCTCCTGTACAAGATGGTTAAGTCTAGCTTTTGCTGGCTTGAGCTAGACTTAATCATTTCAGTTAGTACACCTAAATTTAGAAAGGTATATAGAATCATTTCAGTTAGTACACCTAAATCTAGAAAGGTATATAGAATAACATCCTTAGAAATATAATGTCTAATAAATAGTGAGTTTAATGTCTTTCTGCTTCAGGAGATGGGTCTGAATCTACAGTGGTTGTATTCTGCTCGTGGAGACTTCTTCCGTGCTACGTCTAGACTAACAACAGATTATAAGAATGCTGAGAGAACAAACAGATTTGTCATGAGGGAGATCAATGACCGTATCATGAAAGTACGTAAACCCTTAGAAAAGGAGGAATTCAAGTATGTGCATTTTTAATTGGTAAATCTTGTGTTTCTAAAAAGTAGAATAGTAATTCCAGGAGCCTAAAATCCTTTGCTGCTTTAGAATTCAGCACAAATTTTAACTTTTACTTATTAGCAACGTATAAAGCCAACATATCTAAACTGGAAATACAAAAGACATTGACCTCGTATTAACTTTTTTAGGCTTTAAAAACATTTTAAAGAAGGGATCATTAATGGTTTTTAGCTGTCATTTTCTCTGTATTTCTGTTTAATTTAGCCCTTAGCTGCTTTTAGCCTAGTCTGCTTGGAAGAAGCAGAAGACTGCGTTACAGTGGAAACTTGTAAACCTTCCCTATATAGGCTCCGAGCAAAAAAAAAACCCAATGCAGTTAGAGTTTACAAAGGAATTGACAACTTGCTTTACAATTTTAACATTAGAAGATTAGTAGCCTGTTCTCAACATTCTTAAATTCAGGGAAATTTTAACATTTGAAGTGAGAGAATGACAGTTGTTTTACTCTATCAGGTCCTTTCCTCACAACAAAAGTCACAGCACTGTGTAAGCTCCCTTGTATGTTTTGTTTTCATAGGTGGAATATCACTTCCTGTCACCCTACGTATCTCCAAGAGAGTCTCCTTTCCGACATATCTTCTGGGGCTCTGGCTCTCACACTCTGTCAGCTTTACTAGAGCACTTAAAGCTGCGGCAGAAAAATAACGGTGCTTTTAATCAAACACTGTTGAAAAACCAGTTGGCTCTAGCAACTTGGACTATTCAGGGAGCTGCAAATGCCCTCTCTGGTGACATCTGGGACATTGACAATGAATTTTAAATGTGATACCTATAACTTATATAAGAACATCAGGGTAGTGTGGTTCCTAGACTTGTGTTGGTTGTGCTAAATTTTCAGTAGGGCTACAAAACCTAATATTGTTAAAATTCTACCCAATCTTGGTACTAATAGATGTCTTTAGGCAGCAGCTTTTAATACAGGGTAGGTACCTGCACTTCAAGTTAAAGTGACTAACCACTTAAAAAGATGTTCACGATAGAATATTTTCTCTGATTATCTCTAGAGTTTTAAGTGCTTTGTAATGGTAACTGCCTCTTTCCTGTTACAGTTATGAAAAAGTCAGAACCATTTATGTGAACTATTGCTCTAAATCCTAAGTATGTGAACTGGTATCTTTTGAATTGGAGGAGCAAGGTGATACCTGCTGAAGGTGGAAAGTGGTAGCTTAGTGTGATCCTCCACCTTCACTGGATGCTAGATAGGAGATCCCAGGCTGTAAGGCTTTACTCTCCACATGAGATCTCTGCCTTCTTGAAGGATTTAGCTCGTTTCCACATCTGAAAGTGAAACAGATCAGTTTCAGAAGAGATGGGACTTGTTTTCTTGCCAGTGAGGTCTGAAATAGAGGTCCTTCACCTGCATAAAAGGAGGCTCAACTGTTTATCACAGGAGTAAGGCCTTAATATGTTAACCTCAAGATTATGTATGAAAAGAGGAGACCAGAAGCCAAAGACCTAGTATATTTTCTCTTCCTCTGTCCCTTGTCCCATAAACCTTTGTTAGTTTTTTGTTTTCGTTTTTTCCAAGGTATTTTGAAAGAGAACCAAGTTTTAGGTGTTTAATTTCAAACTCAGTTCGTCAGACTTTGAAGAACACACTGCCAAATTTTGGCCAAAGTGTTAATTTTTTGGAAAAGCTTCCTGTCATTTTGGCACTGAGATATTTATTGTTTATTTATCAGTGACAGAGTTCACTATAAATGGTGTTTTTTTTATAGAAGATAATTATCGGAAGCAGTGCCTTCCATAATTATGACAGTTATACTGTCGTTTTTTTTTTAAATAATAGCAGCATCTGCTAATAAAACCCAACAGATACTGGAAGTTTTGCATTTGTGGTCGACACTTACGGGTGTTAGAAAACAACCGCAAGCCAAATAAAATTATAAAGCTAAGTCTTGGAGAAGAATTAAATTTAATTAGTGGTTGCTAATCAAGTTAAATTTCTATTTAGCTAATCAGATAACAACAGCAGTTCCCCTAAATGCAGTGAATTGTGACCAAGTTATAAATTAATGTCACTTAAAAGCTGTGATCGAACTCATACACGCAAAATTTTACAGCTCAATTTATCCAAGGTGTAACTTTAATTCGAATTTTGCAAAATTTCCAGTACCTTTGTCACAAACCTAACTCACATTATCGGGAGCAGTGTCTTCCATAATGTATAAAGAACAAGGTAGTTTTTGCCTACCACAGTGTCTATATCGGAGACAGTGATCTCCATATGTTACACTAAGGGTGTACGTAATTATCGGGAACAGTGTTTCCCATAATTTTCTTCATGCAATGACGTCTTCAAAGCTTGAAGATCGTTAGTATCTAACATGTATTCCCAGCTCCCTATAATTCTCTTTTAGTTTTAGTTGCAGAAACATGGAGGTCATTAAGCATTTGGTGGATAACTTCAACCACTGTAAAATAAAATTACTTCCTTCAAGAGTCTTTGTTTTTAAACCTAACGTTGTGTTTTGTTATATTTGTGGTTTCCCCAGGTCTTCTGTTTAGCAGGATAGTGGCATACATTTATAATGTTTGCTGTTGTCAAATGAATTTAACTTTATCCCCTTATTTGCATGTTATCTCCTATAAACTTAGTTCATACAAGTTTGAATCCAGAATTGACCTTTTAGCTTAAAGCAGGGGAAACTTATATAGGAGTTTGGAGGGGGAGGGAGGAGTGGAGGGTGTGGGGAGATGAAGCTTACAGAAAGGTATTTGATCATGTCTCCCCAACCATTAGGATTTGGTGGTTATAAGTTAAACATAGATGTGAACAAATAAGTTTGAGGCTACATCAGTTAGGACTTTATTTTCTACTCAGCCATCATTATAAACCCGATAATCAGCTGTTTGTTCTAAGGCAGTTCAATACTGTCGCCTAAGAAAAACTCCATAGGGTCTCTTCAGATTCTTAAACTTAGTGTCATTTATGTAAGTTAAAATAGATGTAGATTAATACAGTCTCACTGATTTGACCATTCACAGTCTATTTTAGTCTTTACGGTGTTTCATCTTGAACTGATACTTAGTGGTAAGTGAAAAGGTCATAGCTGGGATTCCTGGTTTGAGTATCATTCTTTATCGTATTTTAATAAAAGTTCAGTGACTTCAAGGCATATTATGAACAATGGGCATATATTTTACAACAGTAAATCTCTTCAAAAAACTTTTCTGTAGTTAGGACTCAGTTATTTACAATCAAACAAGTCAGTAGTGGTAAGGGGCTTAATATTCCTGAATGAAATGTGTATCTGACTAGTGACAACTAACTGGTCTTCAGATTTTTTTTGTTTTAGATGTCATGTGCATTTTGAAGGTAAAGCATAAAATGAGTGAGCTTTGTCATGATTCACTATTCTAGAACTTGCATGACCTTTATTGTGTTTCCTTTTGAATGTTCTTGAAATTTTAGTTGGCTAAACATGGTTTATTAGACTTGTCAACTTACTGCTCAGCTGTGTCTTCGTAAACAAGTGATATGCCCTTATAATTGTATACAATCTGGTATGTGCAACAATGTGGAGATTCCTTATCTAATAAAATGCTTGAACACTGTTGTCATTTTTAATAGACTTTTTAGATCAGTTTTAGGTTCCCAGAAAAACTGAGCAGAAAGTACAGAGAGGTCCCATATACTCTCTGCCTGCACACTGCTCCCACCCCAGTTTCCCCCACTATTGACATCCTGAGAGCCCCACCCCCAAGAAGTACCTTTGTCACAATCAATGAATCTCACTTGACACATCATTATCGTCCATAGTTGACATTACGATTCACTCTTGGTGGTGTACATCCTATGGGTTTGGACAAATGTATAATGACATTTTTACCATTATGGTACGATACAGAATAATTTTGCTGCCCTGAAAATCCTCTGTGCTCTGCCTCTTCATCTTCCCTTCCCAGGAACCCCTGGCAACCCTTGATATTTTTACTGTCTCCACAGTTTTGCCTTTTCCAGAATGTCCTATAGTTAGAATCATACAATTCATTCAATCTAGCTTTTTCAGATTGGCTTTTTTCACTAAATATGCATTTAAGATTCCTCTGTGTCTTTTCATGGCTTGACAGGTCATTTCTTTTTAGTGCTGAATAATATTCCATTGTCTGGATGTAACAGTTTATTTCTCCATTCACCTACCAAAGAACATCTTTGTTGCTTCCAAATTTTGGCAATTATGAGTAAAGCTACTATAAACGTGTACAGGTTTTTTGTGGACATAAGTTTTAGTTCATTTGGGTAAATACCAAGGAGTGCAATTGCTGGATTATATGGTAAGAGTATCTTTAGTTTTGAAAAAGAATGGATATATGTATATGTATAATTGTATCACTTTGCTGTATACCTGAAACTAACACAATATTGTAAGTCAACTATACTCCAATATAAAAAATTAAATTGAGAAAAATAAATAAGTTAAGACAATCTAGATACTGAAACCTAAATATCAATCACTTTTAATTATAAATATATGTTAACACTTCTCAAATACATGTTAATTTAATTTAATGGTTTATGAAATGGTGTATCAATTAATAGGTTTTCTCATGGAATGTAATGATCCTTTAATATTAGAAATTTTTATAATTGGTCCAACAAGAAGAAATACATAATAATCTCAATAAATTTTGAAAATCTACAAAGTTCAATATCTATTTTGATAATATCTCTTTACAAACTAAAATGGATCACTATAACTTGATAAAAACATGAAGGTAACTATACCATTCACTAGCAGTGAATGAGAGTTCCTGTTGCTCCACGTCCTTGTCAGCATTTGGTGGAGTCGGTGTTTTGGATTTTGGCCATTCTAGTAGGTGTGTAGTGGTATTTCATTTTAATTTGCGTTTCCCTAATGACAAGATGTTTTATATTCTTATTTACCAAGTGTATATCTTTGGTGAAGTGTCTGTTCAGATCTTTTGCTCCTATTTTAAGCAGGTTGTTTGTTTTCTTATTGTTGAGTTTTAATAAATTTTTTTGTATATTTTAGACAGCAGTCTTTTATGTGTTTTACAAGTATTTTTCCCCAGTTTGTGGTTTGTCTTCTCATTCTCTTGAAAGTGTCTTTTGCAGAGCAGAATTTTTTAATTTTAAAGAAGTCCAGCTTATCACTTATTTCTTTCATAGATCACCAAACCCATCTAGGTTTTTCCCTGTGTCATCTTCTAGGAGTTTTAGTTTTCCCTTTGACATTTAGGTCTGAGCTATTTTCAGGTAATTTTTCTAAAGGGTATATGGTTTATTTTTTTTGCATGTGGTTGTCCAATTGGTCATTGGTTTTCAGTAAGAATACTCTGGCAGGTCACATCATTTGCAAATATTTTCTCCCATTCTGTAGGTTGTCTTCTTGTTTTGGATTAATTTCCAAAATATACAAACAGCTCATACAGCTCAATATCAAAAAAACAACCCAATAAAGAAATGGGCAGAGGATCTAAATAGATGTTTCTCCAAAGAAGACATTCAGATGGCCAAAAGGCACATGAAAAGATGCTGAACATCACTAATTATTAGAGATATGCCAATCAAAATGACAATGAGGTACCACTTCACACCAGTCAGAATGGCCATCAAAAAAATCTACAAACTGGGGCTTCCCTGGTGGCACAGTGGTTGAGAGTCCGCCTGCCGATGCAGGGGACACAGGTTCGTGCCCCGGTCCGGGAAGATCCCACATGCCACGGAGCGGCTAGGCCCGTGAGCCATGGCCTCTGAGCCTGCGCATCCGGAGCCTGTGCCCCACAACGGGAGAG